CTTTCATTCTCTCTCCCTTTCTGATAATAACGAGAAGAAAGGAAGAAAGGATCGCCGGCGATTGAAAACGGTGGCAACGAAGGTGGTTAACGCCGACGACGATGAGGACAACGGTGGCGAAGGTCAGGGGTAAGTGTTTTTGGGTTTGCATGTCTGGTTTTTGAGGTTGGATTTTGTTCTCCGGGTATTAGAAGGGATTCTAACTCGCTTAGGTTTTCTGGGTTCTGTTTGCGGCGAGAGAGGAAAGGATCGGAAGTCGGTTACCGGTGGATTTTTATTCAACCGGCGATGGTGCCGAGGGACTTAATTTTTGGTAAAATTTAAGTAGCTTTTTGTTTGTTTCTGGATCTCTTTTTATTCGATTATGATGATCCTTTTTTGTTATGGTTTCCAAGAAGGAGGGGAAAAAGGAAGGGAAGTGGCTCGCCGGCGAGAAGAGGAGAGATGCCGCCGCCTACCCGCAGCAGCCGGCGGTGACTTCAGTGACAAGGGATAGACAAGCACAAAGGTAGGTATCAGGGGGCCGGTTAGTGTAACAACACCCATTGTGTTGTTATTGTAAGGGAGTTGCTAAAGGTCGCCCTTAAAATTGCTAAAGGTCGCCCTAAAAAAGTTTAAAGTTACACTTATAACCCCCTATCTTCTTTACCTTCCTTTTATCAAACAAACACCACTTGGACTAAAAAAACACTATCTAAGGAGAGAAAAATCCATCATCGTCATTTTGAAGCCGATATCGTCGGTAGGACGTCTGAATCATGAGTAGCGACTCCGACGAGGTAAATACCAAAACTGAAAAACGAAAAAAAAAAAAACCAAAAAATGCCCAACCGCAATTGACCTGCGGTTTGACCATGGCTGGACCGCAAATCCCCTGCGGTTGACCGATGGCTGGACCGCAATTGACCTGCGGTTGGACCATGGCTGGACCGCAAATCACCTGCGGTCCAACCATGGTCCAACCACAGGTCAATTGCGGTCCAGCCATCGGTCAACCGCAGGGGATTTGCGGTCCGACCATGGTCCAACCGCAGGTCACTTGCGGTTGGGCATTTTCTGGTTTTTTTTTTCCTTTGAATAATTTTCTATTTTTTATATGATTTATGATTTGTTCCATGAGATAATTTGTTGGGTTTTGATTTATATAATTTTCTAGATTTATTTGCATAATTTTTTTTGGAATTGAAGGATTTAGCATTAGAAATTAAGATTAGATTTGGCCTTAAATTAAGATTTAATTTGGTCTTAATCTAGAAAATTAAGATTAGATTTTGCATTACAAATTAAGATTAAATTTATTGCATAAATAATAGATTCGCATTAGAAATTAAGATTAGATTTGGCCTTAAATGAAGATTAGATTTAATTTGGTCTTAATCTAGAAAATTAAGATTAGATTTTGCATTACAAATTAAGATTAAATTTATTGCATAAATAATAGATTACAAATTAAGATTAAATTTATTGCATAAATAATAGATTCGCATTAGAAATTAAGATTAGATTTAATTTGGTCTTAATCTAGAAAATTAAGATTAGATTTTGCATTACAACTTAAGATTAAATTTATTGCATAAATAATAGATTCGCATATGAAGTTATGATGATTATTAAATTTAATATAGTTATGAAATTTTAAATTTATCATATGGTACTCGTTAAATTGACGATATAGAATGTTAAGTTTTTTTTTAATTTGTGGGGTATCACTTATAAATTCTGATAACATTGTAGGATATTGGAAGTTACAATCCGGATGGCCATGATTACACCTCGGATTTCATTGATGGCGTGAAATACACTACGGAGTTGCAAGCATATGAAGCAGCTACTGAGATTGCCAAGGGATTTGGGTTTTATTTGGTGAGGGCATCGAACAAAAAAAATAAGAATGAAGGTACTTGGCGACATTACTTACATTGCACTCATGGTAGGAAGAAGAAGTCGAAGGAACCTGATCCGAGTAAGGAAAGGAGGCCTCTTACATCTACTGAAAAGTTGGGGTGCAAGTTTCAGATCAAGCTTGAGCGGTCAGGTGATGGATATTGGTTGATCCTAGGGGTGGCAATACAAAGAATCCTGGTGCTAATTTGGGTTTTCACAATCATCAGTTGGAGCTATTTCCGGAAGGATCAAAGGGAAGGAATGTTCTGACTACAGAGGATAAGCAATACATCAGAGAGCTGAGATCAGCCGGTGTCCCACCAAGGAATATCCACAAGGCAGTGAATGAGAGAAAAGGTGCAAATGGAACACACAACAGAAAGCAGATTTATAACGAGTTGCAAAAGATAAGGAAAGAAGAGCTTGGTTAGATGACAGCCTTACAGTATACTTTCCGCGTGGCGCAGGAGAAGGGTTACTATGTGCAGTATATGGACGATCGTAACGTGCTTACACACTTGTTCCTAGCCCACCCTGAGTCAGTAGTGATGTTGCGAGTTTGGCACCATGTGATCGTGATAGATGCAACATACAAGACCAATAAATATGATATGCCTTGGGTTGAGATTGTCGGCATGACACCAGTGGGATTGAACTTTGTCATTGCATCTGCAATAGTGTACGACGAGACGAAGGAGTCGTACCAGTGGCTTCTGACGCATTTGCAACATCTTCTTGGCCCCATTGTTCCAGATGTGTTTGTCAGTGACAAGGCAGGAGGATTGGTTGAGACCGTGGGGGTAATGTTTCCATCATCGACTCATATATTATGTCTTTGGCATATGGATAGGAATGTGAGAGCAAAGTGTCTAGCGGAGGTGAGAAGGACGACTCATTGTGGTATAGATGCAGCCAAACCGACAGTGGATCATATCATGGCGTCTTGGCAACGTGCTGTATATGCATTGACAGTGGAAGACATGGATACTGCCTTAGACAATTTCAGACGTGGTTGGGGAGTACAGTACCGACGTCTTTGAGGGTATATGACAGCTGAGTGGTTACCAGTTAGACACATGTGGGCTAAATGTTATACCAATCAACTGCGACATTTGGGTAACACAAGCTCTAATAGGGTTGAAGCTGCCCATTCCTCCTTCAAGAAGTGGCTTCAATCATCTACTGGCGCAGTCGACACGGTTAGTCTCCTAGTAAATCTTCATTGATACACACATAAGTTTTAGTAGTCTTCTAATTGTTCTTCATTGTATGTAGGTATTCAAGAAGAACGATGATTACATTGAGGCTCAACACCTTCAAATCAGGAAGCTTCTAGAGGACAAAAGAAGCTGCTCCGAGCGGATGGAAAACCATTTCGAGAGTTGAATACAAAAGTCACTCTAGAAGCTCTGAGGTTGATGTTGTTCGAGGTAGCAGTGGAAGGGGAACCTTGTACATGTACGTTTACTCCTACCTATGGTCTCCCATGTATATGTTCCATTCAGTTAGCACGACGTGAAAATCGGGATTTCGCCTTGTATGATGTGTTGGCATTCTGGACCGTTATCAACTATCGTGAACCTCCTACTCGGCCGGAGTGGGATGACCATAGTGATTACCACCGTGGTGTGTTCCAAGGTCTAGTACAGGAGGTTCTTGATATAGGCGACGAGACCATTCGAGGTGCAATCGGCCTACTCCGGAGCCATCTTCATCCTGAAAATGATGGCATTGATGAGCCACATGGGGGACAGCCTCGCCCCGGTCGCCCAAGGACGTCCACCACTCGAAACCTATCTCGAGCATGTGGAGAGGAAACGAGGGAGGAAAAGTTCAAGACTTCCGACTGCAACTCCGGACAATGATGGAAATACAGGTAGACAAACTTTTTCTATTAGTTGTGTTCAATTGTCCTCCATATAGTGTACAACTAATCTATTTTTTTAAATGAGATAGGTGGTGCCCCGAATGTGAATGCACAAACCAACTTTGAGAATGAGACGGAGCCGGTGATCCATAATGATACAGGTTAGAAATTATATTCCTAATTTCGGATAAATATATAGTATAGCTCTTTGTATTAATTTATTGTGTTATGCTCTTTGGCTAGATGGTGCCCCGTGGAGGGTTGCTCGGATTCCCAATACTAGTAGGATTCCCAATACTAGTTGGAAGAATTACCCATGGCTACATTGTTTGGAATCCTACGTGCTACGACTAGTTCGTGGTTGGTTCAACCCTATTCCAGATGGACACTGTGGATTTCGAGCTATATCACAAGCAGTTACTGGGGACCAAAGCAATTGGCCACAAGTGAGACGCGTTGTTGTAGAGGAGCTTGAATCCCGTCCTGAGCTTTATAGAGACTACTATGATGGAATAGCAGATGGCATTCGACGTTGCAGGTGGGCATCAACAAGTGGCTGTGGACCTCCCAACTGGATGGATAATGCGGAACTCTTCGTCTTCGCCACCTTGCATTCATGGGCTATCGTTGTATACAGTCAAGGCGGTCGTTATACCGTGCTACCTGTGACGACCCCACCAGGAGTAACAAGACACGTGGGATCTTATCACTACATTTTACGGGGGATCATTGGGTGCGACTTGACTTTCGACATGGTAAAGTGCCCATGCCTCCAATTAATCGCCTTTGGCATATTTTTCATGACCCGAGTGTCAATGGGTGTGATCAATTCTTCTTACATGAGCGTGCGCTTTATGATAGATTGAACCCACGGGGATGAAGATTGGAAGTATATTTTACGAATTGTATAACTCTCTATTGTTGAAACATTTAGTTATCTTGATTAACTATTTTAGAAATGCATTGAATGTAATGTAACTAAAGTAAAAAAAAAAACACAACCGTCTCAATTCGACTACCAACGATGACAAATAAAACACACAATAGTCTCGGTTCAACTACAAACGATGACAAATAAAAAGCACAATAGTCTCAGTTCAACTACAAACGATGACAAATAAAAAACACAATAGTCTCAGTTCAACTTCAAACGATGACAAATAAAAAACACAATCGTCTACTGAGGCGGCTGCCCTACCAACTGGTCATACAACTCGAAAACCCCAGCTACCATGTCATAGATCTTACCACCGTCCTCCTCCCACTTACTCCGGTCCCTCGTCAGCAACACGGGACCTAAACGATCCACAATCTGCTCTCTCAACTGTAAATAGAAAACAATGTTAGAATAAATAACAAATGTTCTTTATATTTGGAAAAGCAAAAGAAAGTCATAACTAACCTGATGAACTAGTAGTGGTCGAGGCTGAGGCACCCCATCAGTGGGGTGGGTGATCCGTGGGTGCGATCTAGTCAGAAACCAGTCAACGTACTCCTCCACGATCTCCGATGGGTGCTCGCACGGCCGAGAAGCAAAATCCAACTGTAGACGACGGGCTGCCACGTTATCCCACAACTGATTCACCCACGGATCCCAATAGACTATGTAACTGCTGCCGGAAGCCGGACGGTACTGGTCATGTGGTACCGTCATAGCACGGGGGATAATCTGTGTGGCCATCTCGTCCGTACGGAGTCCAGGTCACATCATCAGCTGAAAGCTTATCCAACAACTGTCGATAACGTGCTAACCTCTGTCTAGCCTCATCCCCACCTGGCAAACGGGGAGAAATCCACGAGGAAGCACGAGGTGCATCCGGAGACTGCGGCAGCTGACTCGGACGGAATAGAGGAAAGTACTCATATATCTAGCCTGAAGCAGGGTCAAACAACCACAAAGACCCTTACTACCCGCTCGTGTGGCCACTCCCAACTGTCTGTAGAGATAGGCTAGTGCACCAGCTCCCCAAGCGTAATCAGTCAATCGTCGATGATCCTTCAGAAACAAGTTGATCGCAGGACGAAGGCGATCACGACTCTTATCCACAAAAAGCGTGGATTCCAGTAACACAAATAGGTACACACTGCACCTCCATCTCCTTAATCTTCAACTCTCCCCCACGCACCAACAATCCCTCTGCATGCATAGCACCATTATCGTACCACTTAAACTTCCACTTACCACCAACCTGAGCATCCACCGAAAGTCGAACTAGACCACCCATGTCTGACTTAAGAGTATCCGGCGACGCCTCATCTCCCATCATCTCTCCGTCAACCGGTATCCGAAGAATGTGATGCACATCGTGTATAAGGATCGAAATCTCTCCAAACGGCATGTGGAAGGTGTTTGTGTCCGGCTGCCACCTCTCCACAAATGCCGACAGTAGAGCCATGTCAAAATGCTGCATCATGCACCCTGTCAAGTGAGACAATCCTGTGGCTTCAACCATCTCCTTGGAACCCTCTGCACTCCACTTATATCGCCTCAAAGTCTCTAAAGCTTTCGGCCTATGGAAGCCGTCCAACACTCCACGGTCCTGCTCAGGGGTATTCCACAGTACAAGACCAATGTGACCTCCAAAGCTAGGGATCACATCGGGAATCACTGGTCCACCTGAGCACATCGGAGACTCGGCTGTAAGAAACCACGACATATCTTTCCTCGTGGTCTTCCTCTTCCTATTTCCATCTCCGCCATCCTCGCTACTAGGTCTGGACGCATAGCGTCCATCGGGGCCACGGAAGTGGGAGGAGGCAGTAGAAGATATCCCGACCCGCGCCTTCTTCCCCACGCCTAAATCAGCTTGAGGTGGGGCATCCCCATCCTCAGCAGCACCAGCAGCATCACCAGCACGATCACCAGCATCCTCACCAGCAGCACCACCAGCAGCATCACCAGCATCTGGGGCATTCCCAACCTCATCCTCACCGTCATCATCATCATCCTCGTCAATGGAATCACTTCAATTAGCCTGCCATACCGGAGCGCTCTGTGGTGTAGGAGTACTGGTAGTACCTCGACTAAGAGACAACTGCCCCACAGTAGGGTGGCCGTCAGGACGCACTACATCCGCCTTCTTCTTCCTTCTAATCTTAGGTGGATTTTTTTCTTCATTTTCCTTCCTACCAGTCGCCGTAAGTCTACAAGCACGACCTTCCATTCTCTCCTTATTTCTCGCCTTAATCATATCCGGTTTACCCATTCCATGTCCAGACATCTTCAAAAAAAAGTTTGAATTATTAATAATAGAGTACATAAAGTAATAAATTAAAGATTTCCAAAATTAAAATTGTAAAATTAATAGTTTGAACATTTATGTTACGTTCTATGTAATCATTATTTACATAAAAGTAAATAATTAATCAATGTAAAATTATTAATAATTAAGTAGATAAACGAATTACTTTGAAATTTTGATTATTAAAATGATAAATATACATTTTTAATTTTTTTATTATGTTCTTTAAATTTTTAATCATTAATTAACATTTATCGAAAACATTTTTTAAATTTTTATATCATATAACTAAATTATAACTAAATTAACATTTATCGAATACGTTATCATTAAGTATAATTATAACTAAATTATTTTTATTAAATATATTTTTTAATTATTTTTATTATTATTAACATTTATTTAAATACAGAAAACTTAAAAACAGAATTAAAAAAAAGGGTCAACCGCGGTCAAACCGCGGTCTGACCGACGGTCAACGAGCGGTTGAACCGACGGCTGACCGCGGTCAAAGCGCGGTTTGACCGATTGGTCAATCGCCCTTTGACCGATTGGTCAATCGCCCTTTGACCGCGATCAGCCGTCGGTTCAACCGCGCGTTGACCGCGGTTGACCGTCGGTCAGACCGCGGTTTGACTGCGGTTGCAATGTTTTTTATTTTTTTACCTTCTTCTCCGGCGCGACGGAACGCTGCTGGTGACCGGCGGGCGCGCGGAACGAGCGGCGGGAGCGAGCAGCGGTCGCGAGCAGCGGGCGCGAGCAGCGGGCGCGGGCGGCGGGACGAGCGGCTGGAGGCGACTGGGGGCGGCGGGACGACCGGCGGGAGGCAAGCGGCGGGCGCGCGCGACGCTGGCGGCGTGCGCGCGGTGACACGGGCGGCGGGACGAGCGGCGGCGGGCCGGCGGGCGAGGGAGGCGACGGGCAGCGGCGGCCGGCGACGTACAGGTGGCCGGCGGTGACGTGGTGAGGGTGCAGAGGTGAGAGCAGTTGAGGGAGGGGGGAATTGAATTTGAATTGTTAATAAGGGTTTGTTTGTTTTGAGTTTTTGCTTAAGGGCATATAGGTAATTTTTCATTTAAGTTAGGGCGACGTTTAGCAATTGTTAGGGCGACATTTAGCGATTCAGTTATTGTAACAACACTAGTCCCCAACCAATAGGAAGCTAGGGATGTGATGACTTTTTATTAGTTGAGTTGACCTAGTGTAAAATCAAAACAGGGGTATAATTGTCATTATAAAAAATATGTTTAAATAATAAAAAATAAAAAAAATATTTTTTTTTTATTTTTTGCCCAAAAATTTGGCGCCAGAATTCTGCAACCGGTCGTCGGAATATGGTCACCGGAATATGTTTTTTGTCGCCGGAATATGCTTACCGGCGTCGGAATATGCTTACCGGCGTCGGAATCTAGTCACCGGGGCCGGAATATGCCTATCGGCGTCGGAATCTGCTCACTGACGGTCACCGGAGTTCGGTCAATGGTCTTCGTTTACCGGTCAACGGTCAACGACCACCGGATGTTATGGTTAGCATTGTGAGATTTATGGTTTGGTTTCTCATATTTTTTATGCCTTTTATGGTTTGTTTTATTGTGTTTGTGGTTTGCATTGAGAAGTTTCTGGTTTGTTTTCAAAAACTTTGTGGTTTGCATTGTGAGATTTCTGGTTTGTTTTAATATATTTGTGGTTTGCATTATGACGTTTATGGTTTGCTTTTTTGTGGTTTGATTTACTGTGTTTGTGGTTTGCATTATGAGGTTTCTGGTGTGCTTCGCAAATGTTGTGGTTTGCATTGTGGGGTTTGTGGTTTGTTTTAGGAGATTTGTGGTATGCATTAGGAGGTTTCTGGTTTGCATTAAGAAGTTTCTGGTGTGCTTTCGAAACTTTTGTGGTTTGTTTTGCGAGATTTCTGGTTTGTTTTAATATATTTGTGGTCTGCATTAGGACGTTTTTGGTTTGCTTTACCGTGTTTGTGGTTTGTATTAGGGGGTTTCTGGTGTGCTTTAGAAATATTTATGGTTTGTTTTACCGTGTTAACGGTATGTTTTAGTCCATTTATGATATGCATTGGATATTCAGGCCCTATTTGGTACTTGGGCCATTTGACCAATATCAACCGGGGCCTTGCGGGCTCCTCACAGTCCCTAAACGTTACAATTTCAAGACATTCATTCCCCATTTCTCCATTCTCAGTCTCCCCTATAGTCATCCATCTGAACTGTCAACGCTCGATAGCATCTCGGGATTTTGATTAGTAAAATGCGTAAATCTTCTTCATCTCCATCGGAATAATCTTCAAACTGATTCAGCGCCGGAGAGCCGGTTTCGTCGCCGCCGATTCCACCAGGGTAGCATCCTCCAGCTAGCTCTCTTCTTGATCTGTGCTTGCCACTTTTCCTCGTCGAATTTGCTGCTTGTGGCTTATTCTCCGGTAAATATCATGGCGATTACTGAAGCCAATTTACAGAAGCATGATAGCAACCGAGATACAAACATCTGCAAATTTATGCAAATGTGTAGCTTTAGCTAAAACGAGTGGCCCTCAGACCAGCTCTTCTTATTTCGTTTACACAATTGTTTCAATACAACCATCCCTCCGTTTCCGTCTAATCTACTCATCTTCACAGTACCAAATTCCCATTGTTGAGAACAAGCGAGGTTTGAGCTCTTCTTATTTTAGAATTGAAGAGAACAAACGGCCTCTATCTACTCTGTTCTACCAAGTCGAATCGGCGATAGTAGCTAGGAGGAGATTGGCTTTAGCTTTTGACGGTGGAAGCAATTGAAGTTGTGGATGCGGAAGCAACGATGAAATTGACGGCGACTGATGGGTGCTAGAAGGAGATTTCAGCGATAAAAACGCCTGGTGATAGAAGAAGCAGGAGCGGCGTGGAAGAAGCAGGGGCAGTGGAGAAGCGTTGCCGATGCGGCGGTGGTCGGAAGGCAGGCTGTTGTGGATCAGCCCGCCGACTCCTCCCTCGAGGGTTTCGGATTCGGATCTTCTTCAACTGACCTGGATCCGAACCCTGGCTACTCCGAGGGCCCTTTCGGCTCGATCACGCCGAGAACGGCAACGACAATGGCTACGGCGACGCTGACGATGGCATCTTCACTTCCGATGGTCCTGTGCTGCCTCCGCCGACTGAGATGCAGGAGGAAGGTGCTGCTCTTCGCGAGTGGCGGCGGAGATGGATTAAATAGGTTTTATTTTTATGTTATTTTTTTAAGTTAAATTACTCTATTACCCTTAATGAATCCTGTTGTTACAGTAACAACAAAGGAGCTGTTGTTATACTATCCGCTGCCAGGTATCAGGGACGGAGCCAGAAATTTAGGTAAGGGGGCCAATTTAATTTTTAGAGGTGTCATAATATAATGTAAAAGAGAACTCATAATTAGTAGGTTAGAGTTCTTTAAAATTGTTGAAATAATTCAAAATACCATGTAAATTAAAATATATTATGCTATTTTTTTACAACCTAAATTACTAATAGAGAAGGAATTTTTTTTTGCAAAAGAACATAAATCTTGAGCAAAATTTTGACATTATTAGGATAATAAGACACACAACAATAACGAAATTTGCTAAAAAAAAAATTAGTCTTAGGAAAATAGCTGAAAAGGACTTCAATTGTAGCAAAAAATTGAGAAAATTAAGACAAAAAATGAATCAAAATAAGAAACTTGTACGACTAGAAAAATTTGGGGAGTGAAAAATTTTAAATTTTAAATTTAGGGTAAAAGAGGAGATGGGGAAAATTTGAGGATGAGAAAAGATAAAATTGAAAATTTTTGCAGTTAAAATGAGAATTATATTGAATATCATAAAAAATAACAAAATTTGTAACAAAAAAAATTTAGCCTCAGGAAAATAGATGAAAAGGACTTCAATTGTAGCAAAAATTTGAGAAAATTAAGACAAAAAATGAATCAAAATAAGAAACTTGTACGACTTAAAAATTTTGGGGAGTGAAAAATTTGAAATTGAAAATTTATGGTAAAAGAGGAGATGGGGAAATTTGAGGATGAGAAAAGATAAAATTGAAATTTTTTGGAGTTAAAATGAGAATTATATTAAATATCAGCAAACATAAAAACATCTCTACCAAAAATAAAATTGAAAATTTTTGGGGTTAAAATGAGAATTATATTGAATATCAGCAAAAATAACG